GGGCCGAACCGTCCCGAGTCGCGACAAAAGCCACAACGGCCAAGGTCGTGCGCAAGGTGACGACGAGGACGGCGATGCACACTGCCATCGATCCGGGCGAGGGAGGGCGTCGCACGGCGTCGCAGCAGCCGGTCCTTGCGGCCTTTCGCCGCGCCCTCCGCACCGCAGCATCGCAGCGGTCCCCAGCCAGCCAGCAGCCCCGCGAGACCACGATCAAGGACGGCCGGCGGCGTTGCCACCTACGCTTGCCGGCCAGAGTTTTCCAAGGCGAGCAACGACCGACCTACGTCACGGCCATGTTGATCACAGGGCCACACGGCTACACCCTCACCTCCAGTCAACGAACCCTCGACGAACCCCTATCCCCCACCCCTACTGTGTTTTTTTTAGTGAGCAGCTGGGGCGGGGCAGGGCTCGATTGGGCGCGACGCGGGGGGCCCCGCCCCGCCCCCTTCATTAGTGCCCCCTGCAGGGCCTGGCAGGGCCGCGCCGTTCCAGCGCGGCCGGCGCGGCCACCACGGCCCGCCCGGGGCTAATATGCCGACGCCGCGAATCCCCCTCGCGAAAACAACAAGCGCAGAGTGCCGACGAAGGCGCAGGACGGGCAGCCCCAAAAGCGCGCACGCCAGCAAGAGGGCGAAATGCGCGGCAGCCGCCGAAAACCGCCAACGCCGCCGGAGGCCGCGGAGCCCAAGGGCCACAGAGGCCCTACGGCCACAGGCAGCAGTGCACTTCCTCAAACACCCCTCCAGCCGTCCGGTGCCACGCCAAGCAGCAACATTCGTCTTTCCGCACTCGAATTTGTGCGGCGCGGAAAGTGTAACGTGAACGTGTAACGGCGTGGGGGTTCAAGGTGCCGGTGCCAGGCTCATTAGCACGGCACACAACCACGGCACGCCCCGCCACGCCCCGCCGCGACGTCGAGTGGCGGCTGGTGGCGGCCGACAAGGCAGACAAGGCAGCGCCACTGTTATCTCGATGCCAAACAGGCAGACGCTTCGGTTCGGTTCGATCGCCGATATGTTTGCCGACCGTGCATGAAAGGACGCGCCGAGCAGGCCGAGCAGCGCGGGGGCAAACAGACCCTGTCCGCGCGCCCTTCGAGCGAGCGGAATCTATTCACGCCGCAGACCTCCCCAAACGTGCCCCGAGTTGTGGCAGCTTTGGCCAACGTGTTCGGCCGTTACCCGGCGCGGGCCGGGGCGCGGGGCGGGGCGCAGGGATTCTGCCGAACGACCGCCGTCAAGACGGCAAGACGCAGGGCGCGGCTCGGCCCGCGTCGTGAGCCCGCCGTCAAACAGCCCTCGAGCGCCTCGAGCGCGCCGCACCGAGATCGAAGGCCCTCGCAGACGGACGGACGGACGGACAGACAGACGGACGGACGGACAGACAGACGGACGGACGGACAGACAGACAGACGGCCAGGAAGGGCGGCAAGAAGGCAGGGCCGCGGCTCGTTATGTCACCGCGGCCGCGCGGCGCACACATTTGCACACAGCGTTGGCCCGGCCCATGGCCCGGCCCGCCGAATCAACGAGGATGGCTTTTACGGCCAAGATAGCCGCATTTTACGAGCAGCGCCACCAGCGCCACCAGCGCAGCGCTACGCAGCGCCACGACGGTCCGGCCGCAGCCACGCCGCGACGCCGCGACGCCACCGCGACCACGCCGTGCAGCTTGGCGGGAAGTACAGTGCAAGCGCCCTCCCTCTCCCCCCCCCCGCCACAGTGCATTCCAGCTCGGAGGAAACCCCTTCGAGGCGCCTCCCCGACCCGAGGCCCGGCCCGGCCGCCCCCGACCACCCCGGACGGCCGCCGAGGCCAGCGCAGCCCGCGCACCAAGGCTGCAAGGATGCGATGGAAAAGATTAAAGAACAAATACACAACAAGAAGAGCCTTCGATAACGTCGCGTGCAGCTCAAGGGCAACCCTGCAGAGCCTCCGTGCCACACGTGCGAGAGAGAGAAAGAGAGAGAGATTTGTCTGCCGAGATTGCACTGGTGCAGTGTCGCAACGTTCGGCAGCCGGTCGGGTCTGCGGGTCTTCGTGCCTTCGCGGGCCGCAGTGTCACTCACTACCGTTCCCTTGTCGCTCCTGTACAGCGAACGGCGAGCAGCGCGCAGCCGCGGACCTGGCCTAGCTGGCCATCCCCACTCGTGGCCCGGCGCGGCCCAGCCGTGGCGACAGACGTCGTGCTCGTATCTTCCTCGGATGCTGGCGGCCGGGCCGGGCACGGGCAAGGCCCGTTCACGCGAATAGCGCGACAATAGAATGAGGATAATAGGACTCGAAATGCGTCCACACCGGCGTCAGCGCAGGGTCTTTCCGGCCCAGAGCG